ATGCCTATGATTCCAACACTTGGGAAATGAGGTTGAAGCAGGAGGATCTCCATTTTGATAACAGGCTGAGCTACATAAAAACAAAGGAAATAGCCAGGGGTGGTGAGAAACACCTGTAATCCACTTAGGAAGCTGAGGCAGGAGGACTGCTTTGAGTTCAAGGAAACCCTGGGCTGAATTCAAGGTCACCCTGGACTACACAGGGAGACCTTGTCTCAAAAACAAAAACAAAACACACACATACACACACACACACAGTCTCTACCAGAAAAGAAAAAAATCAAAACCAACTGAAACAAAACAAAATTTCAGAGGTAACTGATAAAGGAAGATGTTTTGAATTGCATACCTTCAAAAACGAAATGAAACCTAAGCTTCCCTGAGCTGGGAATACGACTTTACTCAGAAATAAAGCCTTTGTAGATGTAACTAAGTTAACATGAAGTCATAATGGTATGGAGTGGGTTCTCATCTAGTGACCAGTGTCTTCAATTGAAGAGAGAAGGTGGGTGTGATGGTACATGCTTGTAATCCCAGCTACTGCGAAGACTGAGGCAGGAGGATGACAAGTTCAAAGCCAGTCTGGACAATTTGAACTTTTCTCAAGATAAATAATAATCCAAGGGTGGGACTGGGGATGTAGCTCAGTGGTAGAGAGGCCCTGGGTTCCGTTCTCAGTCCTGCAAAAACAGTGGGGGAAGTTGGCTAAAGCCACATGGGGAGAAGGCCTTGAGAAGGCTGAGACACTGCAGGGAGACACACACAAGTCAAGGATGCCATGGAGGGCAGGCAGCCACCAGAAGCGGCTGAGGGAAGACTGTCCCCCTAGGGACTTCAGAGAGAGCATGGCCCTACTGACACCTTGATTTTGGACTTCTAGCTTCTAGAACTATAAAGCAAAGTTTTGTATTGTTTTAAAGCACCAGTTTGTGGTACTCTGTTACTGCAGCCCTGGAAAGTTTGTATAGTATAAAATACTACTTTTATGATAAAAAAAATCATAGCTTTTTTTTCTCTGATACTAGGGATCAAACTCAGGACCTTATGCTTTCGAGGCAGGCACGGTCACTTAGCTAAATCCCTGGCCTGTGATGAAAAAATAAAAACAAAAAACCATGATGAGGTCTAATAGAATTTGTGGTCTTACCCTAGTCAGGAAATATGGGAAGTTGAGTAAAACAAGTTCAAACAATTTCTCTGCTGGCATTATCAGCTAGTATGGGAATTGCCATTTATCTTCACAAGGCACATGGTCTCAGGTCTCAGCCCAACTAATCTCATCACAATGCAGCCACACCAAACTTTCTAGAATCTGATCATATCGCCCGTCTGCTTAAAACCTTCAGGGGTGTCCTCCCAGTTCCCCTATAACAATATTCAAACTCCGCCTGCAGCTTTTTCCCACTCACCTCCCCTCTTCTGCCTCACACTGCTGCTCAGTCTCTGGGTTATGTATCTTCTCTTCAGCCTCACAGCTTGGCCAACCTTTTCCTGTTGCTCGGCTGCCCTCCCAGGAAGGTCCCATTGTCTGCCACAATTGCTCTGGCTCAAGTACTGGCTCATAACTTCACACAGTTTCCCTGGCTCAGCCCTTGCCAGTTCTCTATCTGTGGCCCCTTCTGGGCATGTTAGACAAAAGTTGTTCACAGAGAAGAAGCATCAGGATCACCAAAGTTAATTAAAGATGCAGAATCTCAAGCCAACTAGAGCTCCAGAACCAGATGGGCACTGAACCAGGTTCTCAGGTGATCCTTATTCACGTGCATGCTGTGAGTCTTCCCATCCTAGTTTCCACTGGGGGCAGGGAATGCTCTTTTCATAGCCATAGCATGCTGCATTGTCTGTCCTATGATAGAGATTTAATTGATCCAAGCATCAGACAAATGTGCTGTTAAGCATGGTATAGAGGGAAAACATTCTCTTTATTAGAACAAATAGAATTAGGCCCTGAGCCTGAATATTGCATCATAGGCTTGCTTTAAATACCTCTTTATTCATATCTTATATCATCTTTAGTTGTCAAATTTCATTTTCTGCTTGAAATAGAATGACTATGACTAATGTTATTGTGATATATGTTTATATATCAGGTCTGTATAATATATAAAACTCTAAGTGACAGCACAGACTTGCACTGTCATTTTTTTTTTTTTGGTACCAGGGATTGAACTCAGGTCCTTGTGCTTGCAAGGCAGGCTACCGAACCGCTGAGCTAAATCCCCGGCTGCACTGCCATTTTTAAACTCGATTTTGCTGGTAGTAGTTTTGTTTGTTTTTGTTTTTTGAGCCAGGGTCTCACTATGTAGTTGAGACTGACCTGGAACTCACTACATAGCCCTGGCTGGTTTTGAACTCCCAGCGATCCTCCTGCCTCAGTGTTCAGAGTGCTGGGATTACAGGCGTGCACCACCATGCCTGGTCCTAGTTGATAATAGTTTTAAAAATGATCATCCTCAGTCCTATTTTTTAACAGATTGTAGAAAATTATAATACCTCAGGATAAATTTTTATTATTTTATTAGCTCCAATGGCCAAAATTTCCCCATATTTATATTTCTTGCAAATTATAATACCAGGATAAATTTTTATTATTTTCTTAGCTCCAATGGCCAAAATTTCCCCATATTTATATTTCTTGCAAGTCTAACATTAAATGACCCATATTTCCAGAGAGAGGCACAGGTAAGAGAAGCTTGTCATATTCTGTTTCTAATTTCCCTATAGAATATTAGATACAAAAGCAAATGCATGGACTATTTCTTTCTTTCTTTCTTTTTTTTTTTTTGGTACCGAGATCAAACCCAGGTCCTTGCACTTGCAAGGCACAGGGTGGAACCACTGAGCTAAATCCCTGGCCTGGACATTTTCAGATTTAGTTTTAAAAAGTCCTTTTTCATCCAGCTGCTTTGGACTCACTTCTGAAGCTCACCTCCCCCAACTTGTTTCCTATTCTCTCCAGCCAGTTACATTTGCAATCGCTTAAAAGTTTGTATCCAGTTCAGGTCAACAACCTTTTATAATGATAATGTTAACGGATAGGACTGACACACCCTTTGTATGTAAACAATTTTATAATTTGCTTTACTCTCTCTCCCTGGGCATTGCATTTCATTGTGCAAGGTTTGAAGTTTACTAGTCTATGAAGTCAGGAAATTAAAGGTGTTCTTATGCATCAAGGAAGCCAAAATGAGCCTTGAGATGGTCAGAGTGGTTTTGAGTTACCAGGTTTGCAGTAACAGATTTTAGGGCCACATCACCACATTGCTTTCTGTGTCATGTGGAGATAACTCTTGAATTTGGTCCACTCTTATACCTATGTATTTATTGTAATCAAAACAAAAATAAAAACAAAGTTGTTTAAATTTTAGAGTTTTGTCCTACACTTACTGTACCTTTTGCAGGGCCAAGCCATAAATAAATATTTGCTAGTTTGTGTTGATTGAGTGATTTAAGATAAATAAACAAGCTCAAATGCCTACTGGGGGAAGATAAAGTAAAGGAGAAAAGCTAACAGCAGGGATTGTAGGTGAACTGGAGCCCCTTGCACCTCTGAAGGCTTCTAGCCTTCTTGCACCTCTTCTATCATGCTTCTAGCCTACTTTGCACTTTTGGAAAGTGTGTCCTAGGTTGCTAGAGCTGCTGATTTTCCAAGGGATGCTCGAAAGCCAGGCTTTTAATACAATCTGTTTCTAAGTGCTGGGAATCAGTTCAGAGTTTTACAAGGCATTTTGCAGACTAATACTGTGAACTCAAACAAATGGTTTTAGGAAGTCCATTCACTTGTCAGGAACCAATATGGAAGTTCTGCCTTAAACAGAACAGATAATATAAAAACACATTTTCTAAGACACTGTGATTGTTAGGAAGGCCCTCACAGGCAAGAGTTCTGGCTTCCTGTGGGACTCCCTAGGTTCAGAAGAGGCAGGGCATTGCTCTCTGCTCACATGAACTTGGGCAATTTAATCTTTATAAACCTCAGCTGCTGCACCTGTAAAGTGGTTATGATGGTAAGACTACCAGCTTCCCGGGGTTATTCTGAGATGGAAATGAGAAAATTTAAGCCACAGCCCTTGGCATTAAACGGCCCCATACCTATTAATTATTCCTAATGCAGTACTGTAATAACACAATTATTCAAATGCCTGCCAAATACTGTCAAATAATTTCACGGTCCCAGATATCTCAACCTGCCACAAAAAACTTGTACATTTTCTATACGGTGACTCATTCTTCACTCAACATCCAGAACAAGCAGTAACAACACCGAAAGGAAATATGCGCTGGTTATTTCCGGGCCAGACTGGGGGCAGAGAACCAGTCCTCTTACACTGCTGCTACCTAATCACACAAACCCACACTCTTCCCAAACGCCACAATGCTCTGTCTTACGTCAGGAGTTCAATTCTGCAGCAACGTCCGAACAATTCTAATGTTTAACTTATTCTCAGACCTAGTACTTTCCTCTAGTGGAGTCTGTTTATTAAAGTTAATTTCCTTGCAAATATTCACACTCCTGAGTTAGAGGTTTTCTTTTTTCTAACTCTTTTCGAGGTTTGTTTACAAGTCTCTAATTGCCAATTTCTGATAGGGACGAGGCGTTTGGCCACTCCTCGCACTCAACTTTCCTGCCAGAAAACCTTCTGTCGGTGCTCCTAAACCCCACACAACAGCAGACTCCATTTGGGGTGTTCGCATATGGTCGAAGCAGACCCCTCTGTTCTGCCACCCCGCTTTTTCCTTTCTTCCCTTTTTTCTTTTTTTTTTTTGATACTGGGATCGAACTCGGGACCTTGCGGGGCAGGCGGTGCAACCACTGAGCTAAATCCCCGGCCCCTACCACTCCGCTCCTTGAGGGAGTCGGCTGGGGCCCGGCAGGCTGCCGCGCCCGGGTCTGCAGCGCTTCCCCGCGTGTTCCGCTCGCCAGTGTCCCAGGCACACTCCGGAGAGCTTCTCGCGGGGGCGGGGGCGGGGACGGGGGCGGGCCCGGCGAATGACCCGACAGGGTTCGCGGGCCTTTCAGAGGGCTCCCGTCTCCCACAGGGTTAGCTCTGGTGCTCCGCGCGCCGCGCCACTCGTTCACGCCCACCCCGCGCGCAGTCCGCGCCCGACCGAAGCCCAGGTGCTCGGCTGGGGACTGAGTCCCCCCCGGGTGCAGCAGAGATCGTGGAGGCGCCTGGAGAAATGGCTGGAAAGGTGTGTAAGAGCGTGCAACCGAACTCCACGCGGGCACCGGCAGGTAACCACCGGCTGCGGCCCACGAAACCTAAGCCTGGCGGGTTCAGAGTGGAGGTTGGAGGTCGAGCTGGGCCCAGATCCCCGTCCTTCTGCGCTCGGACTTGAAAGTACAAAGCCTCCAGGTCGGGCCCTCCGCGCCCTGGAGCGCACCTAGGGACGCATCCATAAGTTGCGGACCCACTCACCGAACTCAGCCAGTCTTGAGTTAGGGATGCCGCTGCATTTTGGCCCGGTCACAGTGCTGCTTCTCTTCTGCTTTCCCCTTCGCACTAATTGCTCTTTCCTGCGGCCACAGGGAGAGGAGCAAATGCAGGCTGCCCCCCATAGTTATTGTTTTGGCAGGTGGGGGCGGAAGAGGGCTCCGGGCATATTGGTATTACATCAGACAACTTTAGACCCCCTTTTTTCTTTACTTTCACTTTACAGTCCCGCCCGGTGGAGCATGCACAGGAAGTGGTACATTGCAAATACGACCATGGCTTAAATTGGCGCAAGGCTTCTTGCCCTGGCTAGAGCTTGGGATGCAGAAGCAGTGCCCACCTTTTGTGATGTCCAAGAGTTCTGATCATGGTTTTGAAAGGTCTAATCTGTGCATAGCCCTCTTTGGACCGATTTATTTAGTTCCCAACAGTAAGAAACCAGTAAAGGTCTTCACAAACTTAACTAGATATTAAAGCATTTACAGGTGTGTAACTGCAATAAAAAACCACGAAGGAAACAAGGCTGGAGGTGTAGCTCAGTGGTACAGCCCTTGCCCAATATATATAAAACTTTGGGTTCTATCTCTGCACCCCAGAACAGGAAACAACCAGAATCTATTTTCTGAGATTTTGTTGTTGTTGTTGCTGCTGCTTTTGTTGTTAAAAAAGGTAATTTTTCCTCACAGATACAGAACTTTGAAAATCGTATGATCATTGATATTTTGTAAGGACTATATTAATGTGTTATTGCCTTTGTAAACAATCAAAATGACCCTGGAACCCATAACAAATTGCATGTAATGTGATTTATTAGGTTTTCTAGTAGGGGTTAGGAAAGACTTCACTGAGCTCTTCTAGAGGAAAATCAGCTGAAATGTAAGTTTAGAGTTTGCTTTTTTGGGGGTACCAGGGTCGAACTCAGGACCTTGCACTGGCAGCACTGAGCTAAATCCCCTGGCCCCTAGAGTTTGCTTTTACTATATATTGACATATCTCATTCATTTTGAGCCTAAGTGTAGGGACTTTCTACAAAATACTAGATTTTTATTTGTATTCGTGATTATTTTTCATGTTGGTAGTCTTGGTCTTTAAGAGGACCAAAAGACCACGAATTATTCTTTGAAATATTAAAAAAATTGCAATATATGGATTTTGTACTAACTTTATGACAAAGTTTAATTGAAAATTGTAAGATTGATTTTTCTTAAACTAATATTCTACTACTTGTAGTACCTAAATTCTAAAAAGTGGTAAACATGTGAATTAAACTTATCTTCAGCTTCATTCTTTTCTCTATAGGCAAGGCACTGATACAGAACGGGCTTGAAGGAAGAGGCTAGTTTAGGTTAACGTGTGAATTTTAAGTTATTTTAGACAGTATATTTAATTTTGGAGTAACATTTTTATTAGAAAGTATCATGGAGTTTTTAAAGGAGGATATAACTGAGCTATGGAACTGCTGTTTGAGGACCAAATCTACTTATAAACAATGCAAATGTTTAGAATCTGACTTCTGTTCCCTGACCAATCTTAAAGTGAGATCCTGACATCTCCCTGGGCTGTAAAAGGCCGTGTAAAGGTACTGTTCATAGTGTTGGACATTTCCATATTTCAAAGTAGGATGACACTTGCTTCAGCCAGCACTTAAAAAAAGATTTCAAGTAATTGTGTATGTTTTTTTGAAGCCTCACTTTTGGGAAACAGGGTGCACATGAGGCTAAAGTTAAGAAATATTTTTTCAAAGTGTCTTTTTTCTTTTGTACCGGGGATGGAACTCGGGTCCTTGCACTTGCTAGGCAGGCAGCAGAACCACTGAGCTAAATCTCTGGCCCCTTAGCTAAGAAATATTTCTGGGACTGTCTGCTTGTCACTTGAAAGGGGGCGTTCACTTGGTGCCTACAGCGTAGACTATTGTCACCGTTCATTTCGATGTTTACTTTTCAGAGCTGGAAGTTAAGTGCGCTGCCCAGCTCAGGAGAATTGGAGACAAATTGAATCCCCTGGGCTGTGCCACGGAGATCTGGGCGGTGCTTGCCGAGATGCCTGGGAAGAAGGCGCGGAAGAACTCACAGCAGGGTCCACCGCGGGCGCAGGCAGGTGCGGAGTCGCGGGCGGGTGGTGAGGCCAGATTAGTTCGAGGGTATTCCGGTTGGCCCAAGAGTGCACCAGGGTGCACCGGGCGTCGAGGCCGGGTCTGGCCTGTGCCCTGGCGCGTCCCTTTGCAACACTTTTCAGGAAGCTGTTCGGGCAGTTCTCTTAGAGCTGCGGACCCTCGATCCCTCCCGGCCTTGGTTTGAGATTGGTGCAGAGGCTCATTGGCCTGGCTGAGAAGCTGCTTCCCTCTACTTTTCCCTTCCTTACACGCTTCACTTTTCTTGCCTGAGGTCAAGGATGGAAAAAGTGCAAGTGCAGGTCCTGCTCCTAGTCATTGTCTCAGCCAGCCTCAGAGCTTCCCGAAGCCCACAGTCCACACTCCACGCACGCTCTTTCTTCCCATCCATCTGGGAGAGTCCCAGGTCCCCTAGAGGGTGCAGTGGTAACTGAGACTACCCCCACCCCTAGCTCGAACAAAAGCAGTGTTTAAGCTTGATACTGTCTCAGGCTCTCCCTTCCCACCCTACCGCGACTGAGGGGTTTATGGAGACCCACCAGGACTCCTGATTTCTGGAGCCTGGGAGGTCTTCCTCCTTAGTTAACATTTTAACAGGCCTTTTAGAAAGGAGTGGGGGTGGGATGATCGAAGAGGAGAGATGGTCAACCACTGTCTTTTTTTTCACCATTCACTCCCACCCCCTCTATCACAGATCCCCTTATCCCATCCCATTTTGTAAATCTTATCAAAGGCTGCAAGTCACCTGCTAGGGGGATTAACAAGACGGGCTGTAAAGACTCCTGGCTGGAAATCCCTGTGGGCCTTATTGAGATTACATCAGCCTACATGCTCGCTCCTGGCCATAGCTTGTTTGTGGTGGAAAAACTTTGTCCATCTTTTGTGATAGCCAAGGGCTCTGACCATGTTTCTGAAACACCCAATCTGAGCAAAGCACTCTCTGGAGGGATTTACTCCATTCCCAAGTAACAAGGCACAGCAGAAAGGCCTCATTAAAATTTATTATTAGTACCTGTATAGTTGAGTAACCTCAAAATGTTAAACTGGGAGCTATTTTCTGCCTTTTTTGTGAAAGGGATGCTTTTTCTTCATAGAATTCAGGGCTCCCCAAATTGTGTGCTACAGGATTTTTTTGGAGATGCTGAGGATCCAACCCAGGGCTCTTTAGCACTGGGAAAGCCTGTATTAGCCCATAAAAAAATGGCACCTTGAAAGATTTATTAGGTGTCTTCTTAACCCTTAAGAAAGATTTCGCTCAGCTCTTTTTGGCTGAAATGTAGGTTTAAATATTTACTATATATAGTTCTCATTTATTTTGAGCCTAAATAGGATCTTTGCAAAGTCTTTTTAAAAGAAAAAAAGCAGATTTAAATTTGTAGTCTGATTATCATTTTCTTGAAATGGACCAAAGTGGAAAAAAACAACTCTTGAGTTCTCTTTGAGAAAATAAAAATTATGAGCAGGATAGTTTGAGTTAATGTTATTTAAAGTGTGGACTTAAATTTGTGACTAATATTTTATGAGAAAATATTAGTGGTTTAATTTGAGAAAGTAAAGTTTTTCTTTATCTGTTGAGGCAGGAAAAAAAGAGAGGGTGATGTCACCTGTCTTTGAAGAAAGCTGACTAATGGTATTGTCTGTATGTAGTATTTGACACAGGAAATACTTTTGTAGTTGAGTGGGAATTCTTGCCTCTTTCTGGATGATTTTAAAAAGATTTGAAAATGTTTACGTACTTAAAAATGGATGTGTGTGTGTAAGTTATAAATGGTGTTTCACTTTGGGAAAACAGGTGCATATGAAGTGAAATTTAAAAAAGAAATGTTTCCTAGGATGAGGATGTTAACTCTTGCTGTTCATAGTTGGGACTGTTGTCAATGTTAACTTTGATATTTTGCTTTCCTTTTTAGAGCTGGAAGTCGAATGTGCTGCTCAATTCAGGAGAATTGGAGATAAACTGAATTTTCGGCAGAAACTTATGAATTTGATTTCTAAACTCTTCAGTTTGATAACCTGACTGCTTCAGAAGCTTTGGCGTGAAGGGACTTCTTTCAAAAGAAAGTATCCTCAATAGTGTCAATCTTACTGATTAGAGGAAGATGACACTGTAATTGAGAGAAATGTGAAAGAACATTCACTTGCTTCGGGCTGCCTTTGGAAAGGGAAGATGGAATATGAAGGGCTTTGAACATAGGGGAACACAGGGAAGTAATGAATATTCCCACCCTGTCCTGTACTAGGGATTGCACCCAGCATCTTGTGTGGACCTACATCCCTAGCTCTTTTTTTTTTGTTTTTTAGTTTGAAAAAGGGTCTCCCTAAGTTGCCGAAGTTGGCCTCAAACATGCAGTCCTATCTCAGCTTCCCAGTGTGCTAGGATTATAAGTGTGTACCACCTGTCTCTCTTTTTTGCTTTAGAGAGTCGTTCTTGTATTTTTGCTGTAGGTTTTTGCCTAGTGTAGTGTAGAAGATGTTGGCAAATGATTACATTGGGCAGAGGGGAAGAAATAGTTTACTGTTTTTTCTTTTCAATGACTACTCCAGAACTATATATAATACAGAATTTGGTTTATACATATAATCTTAGTAAGAGTAAAAATTTCCTTCTGATAACACTGAAAGCCATAGTGAATGTTGGTTTCATAAGTCACTACAAAATAATTTTTTAAAAAACTTCGGATTGTATTGTTTCTGTTCAGATCATTTTTGAGTATGTTCCTGTGGGCATTGGTTGGAAAGAGTGGAAAATTAGAAAACATCTTAAAAATTAAATAGAAGTATAGGAAGATTGCTTGGTACTGGTAAAACTTTTTTTGGTACTGGAGATTGAACCCAGACCCTTAACACTGAGTTGCATTCTTGACCCTTTATTTTTATTTTTTTATTTTATTTTTTGGTACTGGGGATCAAACTCTGGCCCTTGCGCTTATGAGGCAGGTGGCCAAACTACTGAGTGAAATCCCTGGCCCTCGGCCAATTATTTTGTCTTTTTAATTTTAATTTTAATTTTCTTTTTGTGGTACTGGGGATTGAACTCAGGACTCTGTGCTTGTGAGGCAGGAGGCACCACCACTGAGCTAAATCCCCAGCCCCGCAGCCCATTATTTTGAATGAGGGTGCTCAGTCACTCACTTGCCTGGGCTGAGCTTCAATTATGATCCTCCTGCCTCAGCTTCCTAGCTGGGATTATAGGAGTATACTTCCACACTGGTTTGTTTCAGTAAAACTCTTACAGATTGACTATTGAATGGTAAAGACCTTGAAGTTTTTGTTTTGTTTTGTTTTGTCACAGGCTCTTCGTGGTGTATTCAACAAACTCAAACTCTTAACTCACAGTGATCCTCCTGTCTCAGCCTTCTGAGGGCTAGGATTATAGGTGTGTGCCACCATGCCTGGCTTCCTGGCTTTACTTTGTTTTTTGATTAAGAGCTTGGGGACTGTATATAGAGAAGGGTAATGAAAAAAGAGAACTTGACTCTTTAATTGATATAATTAAAACAGTAAAACATAATTTTATAGAAATGTCTAGAGTGCTATTTCATACTAGTTATACATACAGTAGAAAGTGATCATATAGAAGAAACTAGAATATTTTCATAATTGGAATATATTTTTTAAAAGAACAGGTATTTCTCATCAAGAATGAATATCATAAATATGGTTATGTATATAAATGCATATATGCATACCTGTATAGGTAATATACATTAGAATATTATGTAGATTCTTAGAGTTTCATGGGCTATAAATATGAAACTCAAACTATTTAATAGCAAAACAAATCTTATTAAAAATATGCTCAAAGAAGAAAGAAATGGCTTACAGATACACGATTGAAAGAAATGCAAATGAAAAGCTCCATTAAGTGTCACCTTATACTTGATAAATTGGCCATTTTTAAAAAGCAATAATTACAAATGTGGAAAAAAGGGAAGGAACACATATACATCCATGATGGTTCTGTAAATTAGTAGTCATTTTGGAAAACAGTATAAAGGTTCCTTAAACTAAAAGCAACTGTGACCCAACCATCCCACTAATGGGTGTACACTTGAACTGAAATCAGTATTTTGAGAGATAGCTGTGCTCTTGAGTTCACTGCAGTATTATTTGTAATAGTTGTGACATAGACAGAAACAACCTGTGTTATAATGGTATACTATTCAGTCTTTTTTAAAAACAGGAAATGCTGTCATTTGTTAAAACTTAGAAGACATGGTAGGTAAAATAAACCAGCCACAGAGACAAATACCACACGGTCTCCTATACATGGCAATCTATAAAAGTCAAACTCAACGAAGTAAGAGAATAGGGTGGTGGTTACCAGAGCCTGGTTAGAAATGGGGAGAGGACAGGCAAAGGGGTAAACTGAGACATTGGGCAATTAGAAAGGAGTTCTGATGTTTTATCATGTAGTGGGTTGACTGTACTTACTGAATATTTATTTCCAAAAAGCTCAGAGGATTTGAAATGTTCTCACCACAAGAAATATTTGAGGCAATGAATATACTGATTTGATCATTCCACAATGTACCCATGTATTAGAAAAATTTTTACCCCATAAAGGTATACAATTTACCATTTGAAATAAAACTGAAAAATACCTAAAAGAGAAAATAATGTCATGATTGAATTTCACTAGGAATGTTATTTATTGTATCTATAATTAAAATATTTTTTGTTTTAGTTTGAAAACGCATTTATTTTTGTTATAAGAGAAAGGTTGCGTAACTACTTGAGGTTTTTTTTTTGTTTTTTTTTTTTTTTTTTTTTTTTTTTTTTTTTACTACTTGAGTTCTTAACAGTAAGAATGTAGGCTAGTCACTTTGGATGAAAAATTATACCTCAGCATCTGGCTGTGTTTCGAATTTCTTTTTTTGGTACTGGAGATCAAACTCTGGGCCCTTGTGTTTTCGAGGCAGGCAGTGGCACCAGCGGCACCACTGAGCCAAATCCCAGACCCTGTTTTTAGTATTTAAGGTTGTTTGTTGTAAAGATTGTGGGATTTCTTTTTTCTTTTTTCCTAGAAGTGATATTTTGTCATGAGTATTTATAGTCTGTAACTGTATTTATATGTATGTACATATGAAAGTTGATTACTGTAGTGAACAATTAAAATTTATCACAGTTCTTTTGTGTTTATTTTTTTTCATCCTGTAAGCTGCTAAATGTTCATTTTTGAGCCAAAATATTTTAACATTTACATCAGCTGACATCTTTTGACTGTGTCTCCAGCCCAGTGCTATGCTAGGATCCAGAAATGCAGGGGCAGTTGGCCTGATTTCTGCTGTCAAGGGACTTTACACTTTAACTGGGAAGAGAAGTAGTGAAAAATAGGAAGTTAATGCCAGGTATAAGACTTGAGGGGAGAGTGATTTAAAGTAGCCTAGAGATTCAAGATCAAATTAGAGCTGTTTAGTCCACATCCTTGCCTGCCTGAGAGGGAAGGAGCTGCCAAGCAGTTCCCATTTAGGTGACCTCAGGCTTCTCCCCTCCTCTGCCCTCAGCACTAAAACAGCAAGGATTGCCTCATTCGAAGCTAGTCATGTGCAGAAGTAGGCGGAGCTGAGTGGCCTTCCTGTTTGAAAGTGAGAATTTAAACACTCCTGTTTTGTAGTCCACCCCTGCCTTCAAAAGGAGTCTGCTGACCTCGTGGAATGTAAATGACTTCCCTTAAGAGGAAGTTGGGAGGAAGGGTTAGAGGCCAGACTGCTAGACCAAGCCTGCCCCTCCCAGTTGGGCTGTACTGCAGGAGGGGGAGGTCGGTTTCACAAAGGGTGGGCCAACCTGTTTTTCGGATCCATCAGTCTTTTTTTGGGGGGGTACTGGGGAGTCGAACTGGGGACCTTGTGCTTGCGAGACGGGGCGGAGCTACTGAGCCAAAAGCCCGGCCCTCAACCTGCGTTTCATTTGAAAGAGAGCAAGAGTAACTCCTCTCCTACTACAGTTGAAATTGTTTTGCTGAAAGCACCCTGTATGCTTTTCTTAAAAAATAGGAATAACACATGAAGGTTTAGGCACAGATTTCACAATTTGAAGGTATGAGGAAAGTACACTTGTACACTTTTTTTTTTTTTGGATCGGGGATGAAACTCAGGTCTTTGCTCTTGTGAGGGAGGCAGCGGAACCACTGAGCTAAATCCCCAGCCCAAAAGTATATGTTCTTGAGAATCATATTTTAATATTAAAAATAACCCAAGATGTCCATGTAATTGTATCTGTTAGCCGACAAAAATACTAACATTTTTACTTTCATTCATGTTTTAAAATTTATACATATATATATATAAAATACACACACACACACACACACATATATAATTTTAAACCTTTTTTGGGTACTGGGAATCAAACTCAGGACCTTCCTCTTTCAAGGCAGGCGGTGGCACCACTGAGCTACATCCCCAGCGCTAAACTCATAGATATTTGAAAAGTACAGTGAATGGGCTGGGGATGTAGCTTAGTGGTTCTGCTGCCTGCCTCGCAAGTGCAAGGACCCGAGTTAGATTTCCTGGTACAAAAAAAAAAAAAAAAAAAAAAAAAAGAACAGTGAATGAAAGAAAAGTACAGGCCCTGTGTTCTGTGATTTAGGGTTTAAATTAATGGCGCGAATCTGTCAAGCTTCAAGCCTTTGTTAGAGGGGATAGTCCATTAGGACAATACCAGCCCAAACAAAGTGGTGGCTGGGAGCCATATGACACAATACCCTGCTGTGAAATTTTGAAGCTCGACTTTCAAGGTAAAACCGAATGTTCCCATGGTCACACTTCCATCGAGCTATGAGCCAGAGCTGTTCTAAAATCAGGAGACCCTGGTCATCCTGAAGGTCTTTGTGGTTTTCAGAAAATATGATGGCAAAGAGATCTGAAGCCCTCTTCTCAATTCTAGCTATTCAAGAGCTCATTTCATATAGTATGAGAAGGAACTGAAGACCTTGCAAAAAGGCAAGGGAGTAGTGTTTAGAAAGAAATCCATTTTCTGACATCTTTTCCCTTGTGTTTCTTAACAGTGATTCTAAGGCTTAGAAAAGATTGGATGGGAACTGCTTGGACTCATGGGTATTTTCTTGGAGAATTCCCAGCGCATTCTTGTTTTCCTCATGGTAGTGGTGCTGGCAGAGCGATTTATATGCAGCTAAAAATAGATGTGGTAACCTGGCAGGACACACCCTACTTTGCAATCACATGGACATTCTCTAGTAATGGGTCATGGTTAAAGAGGAAAACCCTTGTCCATACAACCAAGGCACTAACTTTAGTTTCTCTTTTATAGATTTTCAAAAATTAGTTTGACACATGTAAAGTGAAATGCTCAAACTCACCTACACTTTCT